AGGCAATTGCACCACCATCAGAAAATTTGAAATTTCATTTTTTCCTCCCCCATCCCCCACAACGGTTAAAAAATGAAAATTTCAATAGCACTCTAGTATTAATTTACCAGAAGTTAGTTCTCCTGCTCTGATCTTGGGAAACGCAGGCCGGATGTTTGTTTGTTTTTATTATCAGACGTGGGTTTCCCTTGCTCAGTGATGCAATGTGCTGAAAGGGTTTGGCCATGCAGCCAGAGTCGTAAAACTCCCGGAAGAAATACCGTAAGCTCAGAGCAGGAAGGTCTCTCCCTCGAGAAGGCAATGTTTACCAGAAGGCCGCTTTGAACGCTTGCGAAAGAGCTTTGCAAATCCCCACGTCTCACATAGGACCAAGATACAGACAGTTCTTGGAACGATCTGGTGCAAAAATCTCCAAATTGCACCGGAAAGCAGTCCTTATAACTGAGAGCCAAAGCTGTAGATTGGTTAGAGTCTCTCACTAGGACCTGCGATAGGTAAAGGGACCCCTGACCATTAGGTCCAGTCCTGACCGACTCTGGGGTTGCAGCGCTCATCTCGCTTTATTGGCCGAGGGAGCCGGCGTACAGCATCCGGGTCATGTGGCCAGCATGACTAAGCCGCTTCTGGCAAACCAGAGCAGCACACGGAAATTCTGTTTACCTTCCCACCGGAGTGGTACCTATTTATCTACTTCCACTTTGACGTGCTTTCGAACTGCTAGGTTGGCAGGAGCAGGGACCGAGCAATGGGAGCTCACCCTGTCGCCGGGATTCGAACCGCCGACCTTCTGATCGGCAAGCCCTAGGCTCAGTGGTTTAACCCACAGCGCCACCCGCGTCCCTAGGACCTGCGATACCACGGTTCAAATCCCTACTTGGCTATGAAGTTCTCTGGGTGAGCTTGGGTCAGTTGCTGCCACTCAGCCTACAGGGTTGTTTGGGAGATTAAATGAGGACAACCATTGACACCGCCTTGAGCTCCTTCAAGCTTGGTTCCTTTTTAAAACAAACTTGATTCCTGCATTGCAGGTGTAATAAACGAAAATCTGCCCTTATTCTCTTATGGGGGACACAAGAGCCCTTATAGAGTCCTTTGTAGGTTCTCCATCGGTAGGAGAAAATAACAGAGGCCAACCAGAGAATATTGAGAAGAAAAGCAGCTAGTAAGCCTGATCTTTATTGACCTGTTGCAGCAGGGTGCTCCCCTCACACACAGGAGAAAGGAGGAGGACCCAGAACCAAGGTGTGCCTGCCCTTATACAGTGGTACCTCGGGTTAAGTACTTAATTCGTTCCGGAGGTCCGTTCTTAACCTGAAACTGTTCTTAACCTGAAGCACCACTTTAGCTAATGGGGCCTCCTGCTGCTGCCGCACCGCCGGAGCACGATTTCTGTTCTCATCCTGAAGCAAAGTTCTTAACCCGAGGTACTATTTCTGGGTTAGCAAAGTCTGTAACCTGAAGTGTATGTAACCCGAGGTACCACTGTATAGACATTTTAAATTCCCTGCCCTGGAGCTCAAGACCAGCCCTCCATACATCACACATACATCACAGAAGGGGTGTAACCCAAGACCACCCCCCACAAATATCATACCTACATCACAGAAAAGGTGGTCTACAACAGAAATTTGAATGTTGTTGTTTTCCCTGTCTGCCAGGTTATTGATAATGCCTTATCTGATTGCCTTTCCTGGTAGTCTGGCCATTCCTTTGAGATGGTGATTACCCAATTCCTGAGACAATGGGAAGGTTCCCTCACCCCCTCCCTCCTTGCAGAGAAAACATTTGGTCAGTTTGGGAGTCAAAATGGTTTCAGGACGGTCTTCCTGTGTTGCTCCAGACATGTGGTCCACATATCTATGTACGTGTGGTTGGTATATATAAATATATATAGATGACCCTTAATTTTTTTATTTCAGTGGGGGTTGGACTAGATGAGCCCTGGGGTCCCTTCCATGATTCTATTCTCTTATTCTGTTCTATCCACCAGGATCCAAATTGCCTGCTTGCAATTTGCATGACTGAAATTTGCAGGGTCGGGGAAAGCGACTCTGCAAAGGCAAGAGATAACTAATTGGGTTGTTTTGCTTTCGAGTCCCAGGCATGTCATATTATGATGATTAATGTACCCTTTCATGTCCTGGCAGGGCCCAGAGTTTATCCAGTTCTCCAGCTCGACACAATTTGTTACCCTCTCTCGATGAGGGTTCTTTGTGTGTGTTTGCATGCATGTGCCAAGTACATGGTGTTACTTGAGACGTTTCGTTTCCTTGATGTTTACCAAACTTACTGATAAAAAAACAAAACTGCAGCTGCAAAACCAAGAGAGGAACCCTGAAGCTCTTCTTAGCAAGAGAAGTCAGAGAATCGTACAGTTGGAAGGGACCGAAAGGGTCATCATTCTAGCCTAATCCACTGCAATGCAGGAATCTTTTGCCCCAAATTGGGGCTTGAACCCATAGCCCTTAGATTAAGAACCTTATGTTCTACCAACTAAGCTATCCCAATTGATGGTAATGAGGAGGGGGAGAAACTTTGGGTCTCGTGGGCAAGATCTGCCCTGGTGGGGTGAGCATCAGGTCACGTTGGCTTCAAAACACCCACCATAGCTGTCAACGTACAGATTTGTATATAAGGGACCAGCAGCCTCAAAAATAAGGGATCAGCAGCCAAAATAAGGGATTTTAGTCAACCAGCAGCCAAACGAAGCCTCAAGTGGTGGTTCCCACAGCGCAGCAACCCGGCAAAGGGGATGCAGCAAGGAAAACCACTGTCACGTCTCTGCTGGGAAGTGCTGAGCAAAGGCGAGTCCCCAGGCAATGCGGCCAATTTGATCAGCACAAAGCATGCAAGCTCCACCCCCTAGACGTTCTTAGACTTCTTATTGGGTGAGCAACGCAGCCAAGCAACACAGTTGGAGCCTCCCTCCTCCCTGGCCTGCAGAGAGGGAGGGAGAGGAGCTGCTTCCTTTGAAACCCGGGAAGTTTAAGGGACATCATCAATAAGGGACAGCAGCAGGACACGGCACTGGGATAAGGGACTTTCCCACCAAATAAGGGACGGTTGACAGCTATGACACGCACCCACCCCTTATTCATTTAGAGATTTTCATCCCCCATTTCAGAAAAACCGGGAAGGGCTTTAGCACCTGAAATGCATGCAGGAGGTCCCTGTTTCAATCTCTGGGGTCTCTAGGTAAGCCTGGAAGAGAAACCTCTCCCCCCATCTGAAACCCATGAGAGCAGCTGCCAGTCAGAGTGCACTGCACTGAGCTGCATGGACCAGCGACATGAATGCGTACACACCATGCATTTAAAGCATATTATTTCCACCTAAGAACCCTGGGAACTGTATTTTGTTAAGGGCACTACTGGTGACTGTATCTGTGCAAGGGGCGAACTACAATTCCCAGGTTTCTTTGCAGAGCCAGGTGAGCCAATGGTCTGACTGCACATGCACCATATATTCATAGCACATTATTTCCCCCTAAGAGCCCAGGTTTATTTGGGGGGGAATTATGTGTTTTAAATGCATGCAGCCTCAGCATAAGGCAGCACCTTCCTATGTTGCTAAAAGCAACTGTATGAAATTCAATCAATAGATTGAGATTGAACACAATCTTCTATGGTGTTGATGATGATGATCCCAGGACATCTAACAAAAGAGAGAGAGAGAAAGAAAGGCAGCATTAAAACCACAATACAAAATATCATTTGTGGTCCTGTGCGCAGTGAAGCAGCAGGAGGAAGCAGGAAATAAACAGGCGAGAGAAGCCTGTTATTCGGGGTGAAATTAGGCCTCAAATGCGATACAGCAGAACAGCTGGCTCTGAATGTGACTCCCCTCCTCTCAAGCATTCCAGAAAACCTGCTGGAACAAAGAGGACTTAACTTGGTGTTGCCTGAGCAAATAAAAAGGTATCAGTAATATTTTTTAAAATTATAAAAATATATCAGCAAGAGCAGAAGATTAAAAACAGCATAAAACCAATTCTACCAATGATTAATTAAAATGCCTGGCAGCAAAAAAGATAAGGGCAGCAAGTCCCAGGCAAACGTCCCAGGAGAAAATGTTCCACAACTGGCCCTCACACCTGCCTTGCCTAGGTCTGCAAAAGCAGCTCCACCTCCGAAGGTGAACTTGACACCCAGGCTGACTGATGTGGAGGAAGTATTCCTGCATTGCAGGGGTTTCAGCTAGATGACCCTTTAGGGTGCCTTACAACTGTACTGTTTTCTGATTCTATGATTTGCAGTAGAAGGAGCACGGCCTTTTGAACTGCACCTCAAAATAAGGTTCTGTTTTTTTCAGAGGATAGTCCCAGAATCCTGGGAACGGCAGTTTAAGGGTGTGCCAGGAAGTACAGCTCTGGGAGGGCTAAACTACAACTCCCAGGATTCCGTGGGAGAAGCCAACAGCATGCTGAGGACGTTACCGTTTTTTTCGAGTCCAAGACCACGTTCACACAATGCACTTAAAGCAGGCATCCCCCAACTCGGCCCTCCAGCTGCTTTGGGACTACAATTCCCATCATCCCTGACCGCTGGTCCTGTTAGCTAGGGATGATGGGAGTTGTAGTCCCAAAACAGCTGGAAGGCCGAGTTGGGGGATGCCTGACTTAAAAGTGTTCCACCCCATCCCCGAAAAAAAACCAAGATATCATGGGAACTGTAGTCCCCCCCCATTCCGAGCACCTTTAACGAACTACATTTCCCAGGAGTTTTTTGGGGAAAGCCTAGTTCTTTTCATTTGTGCTTATTAACAGAAGCTGCAGTCGTGGTTTCCTTCCCAATTTCGCAAGTAACGTTGCGCGTAAACGGCGCTTCTCCTATTGTTCGCTTGCAAAAGGCGAGGAGGGCAGACGCCGCAGCCCAGCCCGTTGTGTTTCACCCCGATTAGCTCACCCGACCCTCCTCTCCGCCCCGTTTTGGGGATGGAGGCGTCACCTGAGCTGACGTAGCCAGGCTGGCTGACCCTATATAAAGCGCCGCAGCGGCAGTCCCAGCCTTTAAATCCATATACGCCTCGTGTGTTTTTTTGTGGACGTGGAGTGTACTCCCAAAATCTCCTTTGCAAATGGGCTCCGTCGCCTAGCGTTTACTCCCCTGAGCCAGGTCACCTGTGGTCTGAAGCCGCTGGGATTTTGCTGAGCGAAGCGTCAAGTCTTAAAGGTAAAAAAAAACCCTTTCCCCTCTCTCTTCCTTTTCTTTTTCGGGCCGCCATGTATCAAGGCTCTTCTCGCTCAAAGATCTGTGAGCTTCCGCCGTTAAATTTTTTTATAAAAGCATATTCATCTTGGGGCATAAACGTTGCGCGTAATTGCGTGGATTTAAATCGCTTGCATGCTGTTATTATTTATTCCCCCCCCCCCAATAATTCAGTCTGCTGAATCCTGGGGGGAAAACACTACAGAGGAAAGCTTCGCTGGCTTACCTTTGGGGTTTTTGTAATTTATTTTTATTTGAAAGGTAGTAACACGCCTGCTTAAGGGTCGTCTGATTTTTAAACCTCTGAAAAGTGAAAGGTGGGCTGGCGGGGATCTTAGGTTTGTAATTTCGCCAAGCACACTTTGCTGGAGAGGCTCGGCTCGAAGTACACAGCGACTCAGAAAACCGCACTGAGGCCAATGCGACTTGCTCGCATGCAAGCGGCGCTTAATTAGGTTTGCAACAGAAGAAGCCCTTATTGGAGGCCGGCGGCGAGACGTAGTTCCGAGCAAGACCCGGCTGTTAAAAGTGCTGGAGAAGTTGTGAAATTCGAAAACGCCGATCTGTGTTGGCTAAAGCCAGCGCCTCGGGTTATGGCGGCTTGCTCGACTGCTGCGAGGGGGGGGGGCGCGCAGGGGTGGGGTGGGGGGAGCGACCTTTGCTCTATAGCCCCTGCCAACTTTTAAAATGTGTTGATGTGCTGAAAAGTGGGAGGAATGTGCGGGTTTCGATCGTTCAAGCAGTTAAGGGAATCGCTTCGAGAAGGGGGAGATTTGTTTTGGTAAACCGTAAGGGCGTGATTGTTTTTACCGTACTTCCTGACTGCGAACAAAGAGTGAACGTTCTACTCGCTTGATGAGCGTTCCATTCCCGGGTCTCAACGTTCCATTCCCGGGTCTCAACGTTCCATCCCCGGGTCTCAACGTTCCATTCGGCTCTCCGCCCTTTCTCGCGGCTTGCAGACCACCCCCTTATCCAGAGGGGAGGGTGGGGGGCAGCGTTGATTGGAAACCTTTTAATTTTATTACCAGTTGCCAACACTCGGGCGGTAGTTTTCTTTGCGTTTTCTCTCCCGCTGGTGGGACTTAATATTTATCCGTCCGCTCCTTTCCAATACGCCTTCGCTGGCTGACAGCTGTGCAGCAGTCCTGCCCCTGTATGTGGTGGCTTTGTGGCCATATTGGCTGAGAGCAAACGCTCGGGGCTCCCACGCCAAAATTCCGCTCGTTGTTCGAGCTTTTGCATAATTTTTTTTTCCTACATATGTTTTTTCCCCCCACCCTCGCTTCCTCCTCCGTCCCCCGAAATGCCGTTTCGGCACGCAAAAGCGACACGCGCCCTGCTTGTGTCATTCGACTGCAAAGGCTGGGGGTTGAGGAAGGAGGTTTCTATCTATGTGTAGGTTGCAGCAAGCCAGTTCAGTCCGGATTTTGGCTGTTTGGCTGTGGAAGACTTCCCCCACCCGCTAAATGCGCGCGCACACGCACACGCACACAAGAGATATGAGAACATTCTGTAGAAAGGCACAAAGGAACGGGGGATCTGTCCACCCACACTCCTGAGTCAATTGAACGTGGTGTTGGAGGTCCCCTTACCCCGCAAAAATCTCAATTATTTTACTTGAGGTAGAGGGAAGAGTTTAGCGTGTGCTTCTGGCTCGGAGTGCATTTTTGTAGCCCAGAATCTCTTTCCACTTGAAAGGAACTGGGAATGCGCGAGTCTGTTCCGACAAAAGAGAGAGGAGGACGTGTGTGTGTGTAAACTGGTATAAACCAGATCTCTCATTTCCTGTTGGTGGTTTTGACTCATTTAATGCCATGTGTCCTCTGCTTTTTACCAAAACAATAGACAAATAATGTTCCATGTTAGTCTCTTGGCTGGTTGATAGTTTACAGTGTGGTGACATGCAAAAAAAACCCTAAAGTTTAAAGGGGGGGGGGTTCAAAGTAAAGGAGATTTCTACTCTTGCAGAGAATGGCTTTTGTTGATGCATGTAAGGGCTTAAGAGAAGTTTTGCTTATTCAAATCAACGTCTGGGACCACATCTAGGGGAACTCAGTGGGGCTTCTTAATGGCCAAGGTCACAGGGACAGACTTGACCCCTTGCCCAAACAGTGCACCCCCTTTTTAACTTTTTTGGTTTGTTTGTGTGTTCTACTCTGCTTTCAAGTTGATTGTTTACAAAAATGTAAAACAATAGAAACCGTATATCTATATAATTAATAAAATCCGCAACGCAACAAAACATTGTTCTCTACAAGTGAAGGAATAATGCTGTTTTATTCCTATGGAAAAAGTAACGCCCTGCATTTGGGGGAGGGGGGCTAAGGAGGTGCCAAAACAACCCAAAATAAAGTTTTTCAACGTCTTATCTGTCCACAGGGAACAACTTAGTCTGATTTGTGTGAGCCCTTCATGTAGAAAAAACTTTGGCTGGGTCTGTTGGGAGTTGTAGTCCAGGCATAGGCAAACTCAACCCTCCAGATGTTTTGGGACTACAACTCCCATCATCCCTAGCTAACAGGACCAGTGGTCAGGGATGATGGGAGTTGTAGTCCCCAAACATCTAGAGGGCCGAGTTTGCCTATGCCTGTTGTAGTCCAAGGTTGGGAAAGGGGTTCTAATGAGTGAAATTGTATGGAAATATTACATTCTAGCTCTAGCACATTTTCTTTGGTCATATTTACATGATAGGCTTAACATCCCATCAACACCATAAAGCACATGGCTTCTCCCCAGAGATTGTTGGGAACTGTAGTTCGCCCCCACTTTCTTCACTAAATGCAAACTGGTAAATTGAGGCAGCATGGGGTATTACTACAAAAATCCTACCATCACCACATCCTTGAGTTAGGTTCAGGGCCTGAGCTTGAATCCAAGCTTGAAATGTTTTTTATATGATGCAAGCCAGCCAAGATTACCAAACGGAGTGCTGTTTTCTCTTTTGTTCACAGCAGGCTAATTTTTCTCCTCTGAGTAGCCCAATGTGTTTTGACCGTTCCTGTTAGATATTCCAGACCTGATGAAAAGGTTGCTAGGAACTGGTAGCTCCTGCCTTTTTGGGGGGGGAGTTGGCCAAATACTAAATACAGACAAAAGTGTCACGTTTAATTCCAAACCCAAAATATTGGTTGGCAAATTCAAATTGTCATGTAAAATTCATCCCTGCTGCTTCTTGGTCTTGTTCCCTCTTCCTCCATGTTATTTGCACTTTGTGGCTAATCCTTCCTTCTGCTTGCTTCTGGGCGCAGGCAGGAAACGTGGATAAATTATTATTTTTTGAATTTATATACCGCCCTGTACCCAGGGGGTCTCAGGGTGGTTCACAGAATAAAATCAAGATAGAAAACCACAAGATACCTAATAACAATCAAACAGCAGACCAATAGCAGAGGGTTTGGTAAAAGGTACAGATGCAGAACCAAGCCAAACTGACAACTGTTTCTTCCCTCACGGAAGTTGGATTACAGGCAGCTTACTTCTTCCCCCAGCAGTTGTCCGTTGTGAGCCTGTCTGCTCTGGGAGGCTTGGCTGTGCCAAGCGTTCTGGAGTTTCGCTTCGGTCTCTGCCCACGTGCCATCTCCAACAACGCTTGCAGTTTTGTTGTGGAATGTGCTGCCGCAGCATGAAACCTCTGGCGAGCGCTCCTGAAAAGGCTGCTCAAAGAGGTTCTTGTGTAACAAACCAGCTTCGAGAAAACCACGCCATGCAGAACTGGAGGCAGGGACTCTGCTCATGCACTGTAGACCAGTAAAGACCTGGTTTACCCCATGCCCTGCAAACTGGCCAGGTGGGCAAACAGATCAGATCACTCACTGAGCAGCCTGAATAATAATAATGATAATTTATTATTTATGCCCCGCCTATCTGGCTGAGTTTCCCCAGCCACTCTGGGCGGCTCCCAATCAAGAATTAAAAACAATACAGCATTAAATATTAAAAACTTCCCTTCAGATGTCTTTTAAAAGATAGCTGCTTTTTCCTCACATCTGAAGGGAGGGTGCTCTACAGGGTGGGTGCCACTACCAAGAAGGCCCTCTGCCTGGTTCCCTGTAACCTCACTTATCGCAATGAGGGAACTGCCAGAAGGCCCTGGGTGCTGGATCTCTGTGTCCGGGCTGAACGATGGGGGTGGAGACGCTCCTTCAGGTATACAGGACTGAGGCCGTTTAGGGCTTTAAAGGTCAGCACCAACACTTTGAATTGTGCTCGGAAACTTACTTACTGGGAGCCAATGCAGATCTCTCAGAACCAGTGTTATGTGGTCTCGATGGTCGCTCCCAGTCACCAGTCTAGCTGCCGCATTCTGGATTAGTTGTAGTTTCCGGATCACCTTCAAAGGTAGCTCCACATAGAGCGCATTGCAGTAGTCCAAGCAAAAGATAACTAGAGCATGCGTGGTCAGGGATGATGGGAGTTGTAGTCTAGCTGCAAGCAGAGGACCACAGGTTCTTGGTACCCACCTGGCTCACATGGTTTGGACAGACAGCTTCTTGCATCTTGAGGAGAGCTCACACAGGTGGTCTTTGCATGGTGGGTGGCGCTGTGGGTTAAACCACAGAGCCTAGGACTTGCTGATCAGAAGGTTGGCGGTTCGAATCCCCGCGACGGGGTGAGCTCCCGTTGCTCGGTCCCAGCTCCTGCCCACCTAGCAGTTCGAAAGCACATCAAAGTGCAAGTAGATAAATAGGTACTACTCTGGTGGTAAGGTAAACGGCGTTTCCGTGCTCTGCTCTGGTTCTCCAGAAGTGGCTTAGTCATGCTGGCCACATGACCCGGAAGCTTTATGCCGGCTCCCTCGGCCAATAAAGCGAGATGAGCGCTGCAACCCCAGAGTCGGTCACGACTGGACCTAATGGTCAGGGGTCCCTTTCGGGTAAAGGGTTAAGGTGTCATGTGGCCAGCATGACTAAGCCGCTTCTGGCGAACCAGAGCAGCGCACGGAAACGCCGTTTACCTTCCTGCTGGAGCGGTACCTATTTATCTACTTGCACTTTGACGTGCTTTCGAACTGCTGGGTTGGCAGGAGCTGGGACTGAACAACGGGAGCTCACCCCGTCGCGGGGATTCGAACCGCCGACCTTCTCATCGGCAAGTCCTAGGCTCTGTGGTTTAACCCACAGCGCCACCCGCTTTTACCTATAGCCACTGATGCCTTTTGAAAAGCATGGGAGTGAATCTTGCCCTTTAAAGCTGCCTGGCCTGGGACTGAAGGGAATTGTAACCCCCAAAATGCAGAGGGCACCAGGTTGGTTGGCATCTCTCTGTCTCGGGAAGCAACGGAGGAGTGCGCCTTTGGGGGTGAGCTCAAGCTGTTGGATGGCTTCAGCGCCTGCTGTGGCTGTAGAGACTGATAGGGGAGAGACATGTTTTGTTGCAGCTGGGGCAGAGGAAGGCGTCCGGTTGTGCTGCTGCAGATACACCATAGCCTTTCTTCTCCCTGTGTTTGTCTTTCTGCACCAGGTTACAGTCTCTCTTTATTACAGCTACTCTTGTTTTGTCTCCCAGGGTTTACAACTTGCACAAGAACGAAGACAAAGAAACATGGCAGCAATCCCGTCAAGCGGCTCCCTTGTGGCAACCCACGACTACTACCGAAGTAAGAACGGGGAAGGGGTGCGAGTTGCGCGGAGAAAGGTCCAGAGTGAGCCCTTGGTGTCTCCAGGACCTTTGGTTGTGGGGCTGGGAAAGACTTGCGCTTCATGCCTCGTAAGAGTCAGTGCTGCAGGTCTAGATCAGCGTTTCCCAGACTTGAGTCTCCAGTTGTTTTTTTTTACTACAACTCCCATCATCCCTAGCTAGCAGGACCCAGTGGTCAGGGATGATGGGACTTGTAGTCCCAAAGCGGCTGGAGTACTCTAAGGCGGGGGCCAGCAAACTTTTTCAGCAGGGGGCCGGTCCACTCTCCCTCTGACCTTGTGGGGGGCTGGACTATATTTAGAAGGGGAAAAAATATTAACAAATTCCTGTGCCCCACTAATAACCCAGAGATGCATTTTCAATAAAAGGGCACATTCTACTCATGTAAAAAAAACACGCTGATTCCCGGACCGTCCGCAGGCCAGATTTAGAAGGCAATTGGGCCGGATCCTGCCCCCGGGCCTTAGTTTGCCTACCCATGCTGTAATGGTTAGGGTGTTGGGCTATGACCAGGGAGACCAGAGTTTGAATCCCCACTCGGCCATGAAGCTCCAGGCAGACGTTGGACTAGTGACTGCTGCTTAGCCTAACCGACCTCGTAGGGTCGTTGTGAGGATGAGATGGGGAGGGGGAGAACTATGTATGCCAGCCACCTTGAGCTCCTTAGATGAGAAAGGTGATATATAAATGTAATTGATGGTGATGATAATAATAATTAATAATAGTAATAATAAAGGTGGGGAATGAAGTAAAATTAAAGATGAATAAAAAGAGGGGGAAATAATATGCACAAATACCACTACGGTGGTACCTCAGGTTACAGACGCTTCAGGTTACAGACTCCGCTAACCCAGAAATAGTACCTCAAGTTAAGAACTTTCCTTCAGGATGAGAACAGAAATCGTCTGGCGGTGGTGCAAGGCCCCATTAGCTAAAGTAGTACCTCAGGTTAAGAACAGTCTCAGGTTAAGAATGGATCTCCAGAACAAATTAAGTTCTTAACCCGAGGTACCACTGTAATGATAACAGTAAATCACCATCGGTTCATGTAAAGGACCTTTTTATCATGTTAGAATAATAATAATAATAATAAAAAAGACCCCTGTTGGTGGGCTATTTTATTGCAAGACCATGATGCTGAGGGCATCCTGGCTGTTTCTAAAAAGCCCCCCAGCACCCAGAAATGGATTGCGGCTGGCTAGGAAATACTTTCCTTGCATTCACCACAATCGTGCGCAGATAGCTTGTGGAAGTGGGCAGGCGTTCCTTTGACTTGCACCGGAGTGAGTCTGGAGCAGGGAACAAATCAGCGATGGCCAAACTTGGCCCTCCAGCTGTTTTGGGACTACAACTCCCATCATCCCTGACCACTGGTCCTGTTAGCTAGGGATGATGGGAGTTGTAGTCCCCAAACAGCTGGAGGGCCAAGTTTGGCCCTCACTGGAATAAATGAAGGGAGAAGAAGACATCTGCTTGCCTCCTTCTCCAAACCTCTCTGGGTGTCTTGAATTACGCTGCTCAGCACCCGCCTCGCCCAGGGCCTCGAGCTCGCGGGGGCCACTTCTCAATTCCAACACCCCCCAATGTTTTATTCCCTTCAAGGGAACCTTACTAAATGTTATTGCAGAGGAAAAAGGCATTGCATTGGAGCCGAGCCCCTATAAAAGGTCAGCTCCAACGGTACTGCAGCTAAACAAAGCCTGAGTTTGTTGGACGGGAGGCTGAATGTCGTTCTTTGTCTCTCTCTGGGCTCCGAGCCCAATGTGCTCATCTAAAAGTGTAGCAGGGCTGGTGCTGCAGGAGAAACCAGTAAGGGAAAATGGCCTCTTTGGAGAGGTGGGGTCCCCTCTCTGCTCCAGTTCTGAGAACTGCAGTTCTTTAGACAGCAAGAGTTTTGAGAGCAGCTGCTGTTTGGTTGTGCAAGCCAAACGCTCTGCAAATTTGCCGTTTGTCAGCAGGCAGCGCTCCAAAAAGAGTTTCCCGTTGCTTTGACCATTGCTTCCAGTGGAAGTCCTTGCTAGAGACAAAAGTAGTGTCCGATCTCTCCTTCTTGGTTTCAGAAGGTCTTCCCACGAAACACAGCACTGGGGTTGGAGCCACACCATACTTTTAATGCAGATTAAAAGCTCACAGCTCCTCTCAAAGAATCCTGGGAGCTGCCGTTTACCCCTTGCAGAACTACAATTCCCAGCACCCTCACGAAGCGGCTCTGACATGGATGTTCACGCCATGCAGGTTGGGAGGAGGACTGGGCAATATATTGATATATCATCCAAAAACGGGCTTGAAGTCCATATCGTGATAACCGTTTTGTAATTTCTGAACTGGCGACATACCACAAATCGTGTGTTTGTGTGCTACGCAAAAAAATCACAAATGTGGAAAAAGCCGTGAAGCCAGACGATGCTTCTACGTAGCTCCGTCATTTCAGACCTCGTGATAAATTGGTATATCATGAATACCTGGCAATATATCACGATGTTGAAACCCAGATACGGCCCGGCCCTGGCTGGAAGAGAGCCAATGTAGTGTAGTGGTTAAGAGCGGTAGTCTCGTAATTTGGGGAACCGGGTTCGCGTCTCCGCTCCTCCACATGCAGCTGCTGGGTGACCTTGGGCCAGTCACACTTCTCTGAAGTCTCTCAGCCCCACTCACCTCACAGAGTGTTTGTTGTGGGGGAGGAAGGGAAAGGAGAATGTTAGCCGCTTTGAGAGTCCTTCGGGTAGTGATAAAGCGGGATATCAAATCCGAACTCTTCCTCCTCCATAGAGAGAGCTCCGCTGCGGTTTGCGTTATTCCTGCGCACCTCCTGGCTGCAGCAGGAACTGTGGTGCGTGGTGATCTAATGGGGCAAAAACGTGTCTTGTCTTGCAGGGCGTCTGGGTTCCACTTCCAGCAACAGCTCCTGTGGAAGTGCAGAGTATGGGGAGGTCATCCCTCACCATCCAGGTCAGTATCTTTGCTTCAGAGGGTGTCGCCTTTGTGGGGGACGGTCCCTGGGCTGCCTGCAGGCTCGTTTTAGGGTGCATATTTGGTTTCTCTGGAGCACTGGCTCGGACCGCGATGCCTTTCTCTTTGGCCTCTGCTCTTGACAGGTGTACAGGGATGCGGGTGGCGCTGTGGGTTAAACCACAGAGCCTAGGACTTGCCGATCAGAAGGTTGGCGGTTCAAATCCCTGCGACGGGGTGAGCTCCTGTTGCTTGGTCCCTGCTCCTGCCAGCCTAGCAGTTCCAAAGCACGTCAAAGTGCAAGTAGATAAATAGGTACGGCTCTGGCGGGAAGGTAAACGGCGTTTCCGTGCACTGCTCTGGTTCGCCAGAAGCGGCTTAGTCATGCTGGCCACATGACCAGGAAGCTGTACGCCTGCTCCCTCGGCCAGTAAAGCGACATGAGCGCCACAACCCCAGAGTCTGCCACGACTGGACCTAATTGTCAGGGGTCCCTTTACCTTTACCTTACAGGTGTGGGAGCAGGGGTGGTTTTAGGGCAGTGCCACCAGGTGCCCAGGGACCACTTGCCCAGCTTTGGGGAAAGGGGGTGGCAAGTTCTGGCAAGGTCCTAGAGTCCTCCCCCCTCGTTCCTAAAGCGGGCAAGCTCTTGCTGGGCTTTGGGAAGGACGAAGGTGGGCTCTAGGACCCTGCCAGAGCCTCATACCTGCTTCCCAGGCTTTGGGAAGGGCTGGAGAGGGCAGCAAATTTTGGTCTCGCGCAGAGTACCGTATCATCAGGGTCTGCCCTTGGTGGGAGTCCTTGTGGCCAGGGGTGATGGAAGTTTAAATTCAACAACATCTGAAGAAGGGTGTGGCTTCCCCATCCTTGCAGTAAGTTCAGGGCTCTTGTGGAACTTGGGTCCTGGATACCTTAAGGACCAACTGAGCTCTTGTATCTCAGATCAGTCTCTGACATCATCTGGAGAAGGGCTGTTAGTTGAAGCTCAGCTATCTTCCACTACAAGCCACGCATTTTGTGTCTCTGATCTCATTCCTGCAGAACACTCTTCTAGTAGAGATACATAAGGCATCCTTGCTTTTGCTCTTGCTGAAGACTTTTTCATGCCCACGGGCAAATGCTGCCATTTAAAAAGTTTTGAGTAGCCGGCAATTTTAACGATTGCTTTTTTTCTGGTTTTATATTTTGTCATGTGCATATTGTTGTACAACACCCTGATCAAAATATATATATGCTTTTATAAAATATTATTTTTAACTTTTATTAAATTTGTATGCTGCCTTTCATCCAAAGATTACAGGGTGGTTCACAACATAAAAACACAAAATGCATAATAAAACAATCCAATAGCCTCCCTCCCACAGACACATTTAAAAGACCGTAGAATGTTCACCATGCCAACGCCTGGTTGAAGAGAAAACTGTTTTTGCCTGGTGCCTAAAGATATGTAACAAAGGCAGCAGGCAAGCCTCCCCAGGGAGAGTTCCACAAACGTTGAGCCACCACTAAAAAGGCCCTGTTCTCGTGTTGCCACCCTCTAGACCTCTTGCGGAGGAGGCACACAGAAGGGTCTGAGATGATGATCACGAGGTCCAGGTTCATATGGAGAGAGGCGGTCCTTGAGGTATTGTAGTCCTGAGCTGTTTCAGGCTTATTGGTCAAAACCAGTACCTTGAGTTGGGCCCGGAAATTAATTGGCAGCCAGTGCAGTCAGGCTTGATGAAATGTGATCAAACCGTCTTGTTTCGGTGAGCAATCTGTCTGCCAAATTCTCCACCAGCTGGAGCTTCTGAACATCGAAGAGGAGTCCCCATTTTCTGACTGTGACACTTGTGTCCATTCTGATAGGTCTCCCCAAGTCTGACCCTGGGCACTGGTGGGCCAGTTTCTTCTTTGGAAAGACGACCCACCCAGTCATGACAACTGTGTCGGAATCCCCAGAGAAGTAAGTGAAATTGTGCCGAGATTGGAAATGGAATACCGCGTGTGTGTGTGTGTGTGTGTGTGTGTTTGGATCTGAAGTGGGGATCTTGGAAAATCGCAAACAGGCGTGTCACTGGGATGGGAGATCTGGGAAGCTAATGTTTTCTCTGCCCTGCTGTTCTTCAGTGATTCTGTAACTAGCTCAATCCTTGTTCTTCCTGCCTATGTACTTCCTAAATGGGTAGATTAGTGTTTGGGTTAACTTTGGAAAATATTTAAGCATTGCATTATATTTCCAACATTGGCATATGGGGAGGGGTGGAGTGTGTGCAATGTGAAAGATTTGTATCTCGTTATAGAATCAGAGTTGGCAGGGACATCAGGGGTCACCTAGTCCAGCCCCCTTCCATGCAGGAACCTCAACGAAAGCACCCGTGAGAGATGGCCATCTCAACACTTCATTTAATCCACACCTGCTTTTCTGCATCCAAATAGCTGGGCGAGAGGGAAGAATTGCATGCAGCGCAAGTTTCTAGTCCCCTGTGCAAGCCTATTTATTTATTTATTTGCCTTATAAAAACGAATCCCCAAGCAGAGTACTACAACAACAACAACAAAAATGTGTAATACACACTAAAATTAAGCAAATGGTAACAGTAATAAATCAATAATAACAAAAGGCATACACTCTTTGCACATTAAACTCACAGTAGCTAGTGGGGAGAGTTTATCCCTGGTCAGGCCAGCATAGACATTTCTGGAGAGAGGGAGAGGATATTGGATAAATATAATTCAAATTAAGTGGGTTTGGGCTCCCGAGTAAGCACATTTAGGATTGCTCTGTACACTTTCAGGGCAAGTGGGCTACCATACTGCTTAATCGGTAGAGTGTGAGACTCTTAATCTCAGGGTCCTGGGTTCGAGTCCCATGTTGGGCCAAGGATTCCTGCATTGCAGGTGGTTGGACTAGATGATTCTCGTGGTTCCGACTCTACAGTTCTGTGATTCTCGAGTGACGATACTGCCGTTCTGACCCTCCGATCTCTCTCTCCCCTCCCTCCCCTTTGACCTTCCAGCTCAGGCACTTTCCAGGTGGCGAACGGCATGATCACATGTGGCCTGGCTCAGGACGTGATGAGGAAGCGCCACGCCAGCGAGCCCAGCAAACCGAACGCGGGTCCCACCGCGTGAGGAGGCTGGCTCCCCCCTGGCCAGACGCTTCTGACTTGAACGCTAGGAGGCAGAGCCCATTTTCCACTCCCCTTCCCCGTAGAGTAGGGCAGGCTGCTTCGAGTACTCCTTAGACGTAGGTTTTTATAAAAGCAAGAAACGGCAACTAAAAAGGAAAAAAAAAAGAGAAATCTTCTGTACCATCCTTTTCTACAACTTTCTTTTTCTTTTCTTTTTTTGGTGCAGCTACGTCTTCTAACCCCTCCCTCCCCACCCAACGAAGCCTTGTTTAACACTTCATTCTTGTTTTGTACTCGTCTGATGGAAACTAATAAATCCTGAGCAGCCTTTTAAACCGCTTGCGTGTGGCTTTGTACTCTTGCGAACGGGAGGCGCAAGTTATTTCTTGCCCGAAGAACTTTAATAAGAAGAATAATTTTATTTGTATACCGTCCATCTTGATTGGGTTGCCCCAGCCACTCTGGGCAGCTCCCAGAAAAATATTAAAAACACTGTACAGCATCATACATTTAAAAGCTTCCCTATACAGTGGTACCTCAGGTTAAGTACTTAATTCGTTCTGGAGGTCCGTTCTTAACCTGAAACTGTCCTTAACTTGAAGCACCACTTTAGCTAATGGAGCCTCCCGCTGCCGCCGCGTCGCTGGAAGCACAATTTCTGTTCTCATCCTGAAGCAAAGTTCTTAACCTGAAGCACTATTTCTGGGTTAGCAGAGTCTGTAACCTGAAGCGTATGTAACCCGAGGTACCACCGTACAGTGCAGGTAACATGGTTTGACCTCTACATTTGATAGGGACTGTAGTACAGGAGGCATCACAAGGTCAAAGACCCGCTACTATTTGTGAACTCTGAAAACAGGGGCCCGCACATCTGTGTGCAAAGCAGATGTTCTTCCATGGAGCTAAGGCCCCACTCTTGCAGTGCAAACTTGTCCCATTTTGGTTTCAAGTAATTAGGATGGGTAGACTTACTATTCCAGAAATCCTCCCGGAAAAGAACTATTTAGTGCTCATTCAGAGCTAGCAGGAACCTGGGTTTTTCCCCAGATTGCCATTTGTTCTGATGTGTCACTAGAGAGCGGGTTTTTCCTTGGAAAGGAGTGGGGCAAGGGGGAAACTCCTTGGACCCATACTTAGAAAGCGTGGGTCAAGCTGCCAGGTCTTGTGCTTTCTAGGCACAGCACATGCGGAAGTGTGGATGAACCCTGTATTTATATATATATATATATATGTGTGTGTGTGTGTGTGTGTGCTGTAAGCCACCCAGAGTGGCTGGGGAAACCCCGCCAGATGGGCGGGGTATAAATAATAAAATCATCCAGTTTGACTGGAGGCAATAGTGAGATAATCCAGGTATAAAGGTAAAGGCTAAAGGGACCCCTGACCATTGGGTCCAGTCGTGGCCGACTCAGGTTGCGGTGCTCATCTCGCTTTATTGGCCGAGGGAGCCGGCGTACAGCTTCCGGGTCATGTGGCCAGCATGACTAAGCTGCTTCTGGCAAACCAGAGCAGCACACGGAAACGCCGTTTACCTTCCCGCCAGAGTGGTACCTATTTATCTACTTGCACTTTGACGTGCTTTGCTTTCGAACTGCTAGGTTGGCAGGAGCAGGGATCGAGCAACGGGAGCTCACCCCGTCGGCGGGGTTCGAACCGCTGACCTTCTGATCAGCAAGTCCTAGGCTCTGTGGTTTAACCCACAGCGCCACCCACGTCTCAATCCAGGTATACATGGAACAAAAAGCCTTTTTTGCTTCCATTTGCCCCTATTTCTCATCTGTCTCCAGCCATGAGCCAGAGGCATTTGAGGAGGGGGTCCGTTTGCGGCTTTTAACTTTCCAAAGTTAACGGCCTGCATTGCTGGTTTAGCTTCACCAAACACTGGCTTCTGCGCACAACTTACTCAGCCCTGAAACCTCCAGCTTTTCCTCCACCTGTTTTTATCCTGCTGTCTTGAAGCATTTTAACACAGTGAAATTGACAGAGGCGCTCTTGTCAGAGACCCAAAAAGTACCACATTGAGATCTTAAGTTTCCATCAAACCTCAATCCTACAAGTTCCGCTTGTTTTATTACAGAGGCAAGGAGCATTTACCCCCACACCACCCAAGGGCCACATTTCCTACTGGGCAACTTTCCGGGGGCCATATACTATGGGTGTGCAGGGCCAGTGGCAAAAGTGAGCTGGGCAACGGATGCGAATTTTACCTCTCTACTGCACGTTAGTTTCTACACAAACACACTACAGCATGGGTAGGCAAACTTAAGGCCCGGGGGCCGGATCCAGCCCAATCACCTTCTAAATCCAGCCCACGGACGGTCCGGGAATCAGCGTGTTTTTATATGAGTAGAATGTGCTTTTATTTAAAATGCATCTCTGGGTTATTTATGGGGCATAGGAATTCGTTCTCCCCCCCCAAAAAAAATATAGTTCAGCCCACCACATGGTCTGAGGGATAGTGGACCGGCCCCCTTCTGAAAAAGTTTGCTGATGCCTGTACTACAGTCTTCCATCAGACAAGCAAGAGGTTATCCCAAGAATTCAGGGGTCCATTCCAGCCAGGAAGAAACACCTACCGAGGTGCAAACCAGAACCAGAAGGGTGAGGCCTGAGGAGATTTCTGAGGGCCAGACAAGAAGGCTTGGAGGGCCATTTTCAGCTCCCTGCCGCAAGCCTGATTTTCCCACGCCTCTGTTCCATTAGGAGTCTGTTCGGCACCTCTCATTCACTGCACATGTAGATTGTGGTGATCCAGGTGATCCACTAGAGTAAGGTTGCCAGACGTCCCCGTTTCCCGGGGACAGTCCCCGGATTTACAAACCAGTCCCCTGACAAAATCCACTGGATTCGACTGAAGTTGAAAAGTGTTCCGGGATTCATTGAAAAAATCTAGGAGCTTTGTTGTAGTTGTTGTTGTTGTTGTTTAGTCATTTAGTCGTGCCCGACTCTTCGTGACCCCATGGACCAGAGCACACCAGGCACCTCTGTCCTCCACTACCTCCCGCAGTTTGGTCAAACTCATGCTGGTAACCTCAAAAACACTATCCAACCATCTCGTCCTGTCGCCACCTTCTCCTTGTGCCCTCCATCTTTCCCAGCATCAGGGTCTTTTCCAGGGAGTCTTCTCTTTCATGAGGTGGCCAAAGTACTGGAGCCTCAGCTTCACGATCTGTCCTTCCAGTGAGCACTCAGGGCTGATTTCCTCCAGAATGGATGCGTTTGATCTTCTTGCAGTCCATGGGACTCTCAAGAGTCTCCTCCAGCACCATAATTCAAAAGCATCAATTCTTCGGCGATCAGCCTTCTTTATGGTCCAGCTCTCACTTCCATACATCACTACTGGGAGAGAGCCTAAGAGAGGCAGATGGTTGTTCCCTGGAGAAAAAGTGAAGCAGCAGCTGCTCCCGTTGCAAATTTGGAGCATTCCAAAACCCCAGGGAAAGGAGGCAGCATCCATTCTGGTGTGTTTACAGCTGCTGTGTGCGTTGCCATCTGCAGCAGGCCTCTGCCTGTTTCTGTGCTTTCAAGTCTTGCATCGCTTTTCCTGCATAAGCCCTTTTAGAAAGACGGCCATTGTTTTGACTTTTCGGAAACATCCGCCCCTCAAAGATCCTGCCCAGCCGCTCCACATTTGCACATTAACGGGGCCGGGGATATGCTCTGTGGTTTAACGGCTAAAATACCGGTGATACAACTAGCTCTTTCGCAGGAGTATCGGTTGTCAAAAGTACTTCTTTGCCAGCTAAAAAGCAGTAATTTGCTACAGTGAAAATCAGGACACAGAACTACTTGGGCTCGCTTGACAGGTACGAGCTAAAGTTACCCATAGGAACACTGGAAGCTGCCTTATGCAGAATCAGGCCCTTAGTCCATCCAGCCCAGCTCTCACTCAGCCATCTAATCACCACATAGATAAAACTCAGACAGCACCCAGAGTCAGGCAGGAGCGGAAGAAGCAAAGAGCAGTTTCTGCCCCCTCCTTTCTGAAAACATCATTTCAGGAGATTCTCGCAATGGGAGGGAGTGAAAATATCAACATTGCCCCCATGGAAAGGCAGATCAGGAGGTCTTGCCGGCATCATTCTGTCACCTGCAAGAGAAAAACAGGTAAGCGGGACGCCAGGAGTGCCAGCTTCTCTCACAGGTGAAGCAGGGCATCTCTAACAACAGGTGGGCCTTTGAGAAAGCCTTACCTGCTGAGTGCATTTGGACCTTTGCGCCCATTTCATATGTTACTTGTGCAAAAATACATCTCCCCTCCTCTGGACCCTTGACCCCAACAGTCCCCCCCCCCAAAAAAAAAAGATGGAAAGAACCCAGAGATTGGTTTGAAAACCGGAATGAAGTTATATGGCTTTAGTAGAAATGTTATAAGGAATTAAGTATAAAAAGATTATTAGAGCATTAAAGGGAAAAATAAGGTTAGAATGTGTTAAGACAATTATAGGATAGAAAACAGAGGAAGATGGAAAGGAATTGCTGAAACAATTAATAGAAGTGGAATACAAAAAGAGAGGTGTGAGGAGGTCGTGGAAATTAGTGAAAGAAAGATAAGATATTGAAATTGGACTGTGTTTTAAATGGTTTTTGTTTTGTTTTGTTTTGTTAGTTGTATGTTAGTGTTTTGCAGTTTTGTTTTGTTTTTGTATTGTATTATTGTATGTTTTTTCTTTTTTTCTTTTTTGTAGTGTTGTGTTCAATTTGTTGGAAAACTAATAAATATTATTATAAAAAAATAATAATAGAGAGATTGGTTTGAAAACCAACCGAATGAGACCAAATGGAGAAAAACCACCATCCTCCTTACCCAGTGGCCTCTCTCTGGTGTCCAGCGGAGCCTGAGGTCTGCACTGACTACAAGTCTTCAATGATGATGCCATCTGGATGGAAGAGAAGAAAATGAGAGTCAGTCCGGTCGCTGCCCTCCCAGGCCAGGTCGGAAAGGCCTGCCAGGCAGGGGAGCAGGTCCTGCAGGACTCCCAGCAGGAAAACCGGGGAGGCAAGGACCTTAAAGCAAACAAGGGACAAGGGAGTTCGCTGTTTCCAAGGTGTGGGGCTTACCTTCTTTGGGTCTCCGCTGGAAGCATGTCAGGTGTGGCTGAATTACTGTCATCTGCAAAAAAAAAATCTGGGTCAGGTGATACTACGAAATCCACCCTGAATGGGTGCAAGAGAGCACAGAAGCAGCCCCAAGCCAAGAACCATGGGCCTCTCTCTGCCTTGGGCACAATCCCTTGCCCCAGAGGACCTCCCCGGGCCCTGCAGCCTCCTGGGCAGAGGTGGAAGGGCAGCAGGGGCAGGAAAAGCCTCTGGCCTCATCCTGGCCCCCTGGGACACACGGCGCATCATCTACATTAAAAGTCGCTGGGGGCGGGGTGTTGACCATGCAGAGGGCCGGGAGGCCAGCTGGCTAGCCCCAGCTGGGCAGTCTCATTCTAGCAGTCCCGCTGTGAAGACCCATCGGCCTCTTCTCCGACGTAAATCAGTGACCCGGGCTTCAAAGCCAGGGCACACTATCAGCAGATCAAACTGCACACACAGAATAGGCTTGAGGCTTGTGAAAGCATACTACAACTACAGATTTATTAATCATAAATCAGGACAAAGAAACATGTCGCCTCTCTCTCGTCGTCTTCGCAGAGAGAACGGGAAAAAATTAAAGCTATACACAACAGAAGTTCCCAGCAAGCTGTGCTGGAATGTAAACAGACACGTGACACACAACAATTCCACACATCTGCTCCTTAAGGTGGAATAGAAATCTCAACAGGTTGTGCTCTTGGGCAGATGGAAGCAACTGCAGAAACGAAGAGAAGAAGGTGAGGTACTTACTCTGAGTTGGGGGAAATCTCCGCGCCACAGCCAGCAGCAGAGAAATGCTGCTGGCCGCTAGCTCCTGTTTCGCCAAGCACGTGTCCTTGGAGGTCCTGCGGGAGCAAAGAGCGTCTCAGTTGGGGCCAAAGCAGCAGGGCAGGCTCAAGGGCCTCAGCCCCAAGCAAGTTGGGGGGAGCACATATGGGCCATCAGGACACACTGAGCAGCTGGAGGAGGGTGCCAGAATTGGGGACTTCCATCAGGAGACTCCCCAGCAGGAGCCGGAAGTGCCGCTTCAGTTCCTGCGGGAAAAGAGAGAAAAGAAGTTGAGTGCTGGGCAGATGTGGCGCCGGGATGCAAATATCCACCCAGTGCCCCCAAATTACCACGGATAGTGCTGGGGTGGCTGTAGCTGCCACCAGGGGGGGGCAACTTTCCCCCATGCCGCTGCGGGAAAGCAACCCCCGCAGAGGCTTGGGAGGGAAGCTGCACGACCGCCCACCCGCCAGCCTTATTGTTGGCGGGGTGCAGCTGGCAGGCGTGCAGGGAAAGGGGAGGCCGCTGGCAAAACCGTGCAGCTCCCCACTTGCTGGGGCGCCCCTGAGAGGCTGGCACCCTGGCGCAACGCACCACTAAGCCCTATGGGGAAGAAGAAGAAGAAGAAGAGGAGGAGGAGGAGGAGTTTGGATTTGATATCCCGCTTTATCACTACCCTAAGGAGTCTCAAAGCGGCTAACAATCTCCTTTCCCTTCCTCCTCCACAACAAACACTCTGTGAGGTGAGTGGGGCTGAGAGACTTCAGAGAAGTGTGACTAGCCCAAGGTCACCCAGCAGCTGCATGTGGAGGAGCAGGGAAGCGAACCTGGTTCACCAGATTACGAGTCCACTGCTCCTAACCACTACACCATGCTAGCTCCCTAGAAGAGGCCCTGAGTATCATCTAGTTCAACGGCCTGCAATGCAGGAATATGCAGCTGTTCCATACGGGGATCGAACCTGCAACCTGGTCCTTTGTCAGCACCATGCTCTAGCCAATTGAGCTGTTTCACAACACAACATGGTAGCTTTCATGCTCACGGTATCTGCTCCACCCACCCCACCCCTCTGCCCAGGCAGAAGACCTCATGCCACCAGCTCCTGAAGGGACCATCAGTGGCCTGGGAGAACTGTTGGGGCACCTGCCCATGCACACACTTTCCCTGGGACTACTCGGTTCCCCAGATTATGGGTCTACCGCTCTTAACCACTACACCACACTGGTTCTGGTGCTGCGTGTGTGTGTGAAGAAGAAAGAGCCGTGCAAAGGGAAGTCCGGACAAAGGACATACCTCTCTGTCCTCCTCCTTTTGTGGGCCCCCAAGAACAGCCTCCAGGGTCCTGTGAAGGATGGCAATGAGCATATCACCGCTGAACTTTGCCCTCATGATACTGCAGAGAAGAAGGGGAGCGGGTTAAACGCTGCCTCCTCCCAGTCTCCCTTGCCCCTTCTCCCTCCTGCCTCCACTTCCCCACCACCCGGAGCTGCCCCTGGAGTTCTGCCCCCACCCCTCACAACCCCGTCCATCCCAAAGACCCCACTCAGCTCAACTGGATGAGGGCCTCCAAGGTCAGGGTCAGGGGGGTGACCCTGAAGTGCTCCAAGGGCCCCAAGATGTCCTGGGAGAGAACAGAGGAGGAAAGCCAGCTCTTTCCAGGGGCCTCCAGAGGACAGCTCCGACCCCCCAAGGCCCGGCCTGGCTTTCCAGGGGAATGGCAACCCCTTCCCCAAAGCCCCTCCCTCCCCCACCTCCCTGTGGGGGTCCCTCACACCACCCATCACTCACCTGAATGGCTTGGGCCATCTCCTGCTTGGAGCACTTCAGGGTTCAGAGCTCCCTGAGATCAGCTGCCTGGCACTCTTTGTTCACCCCCCAGGAGGTACCGCTGTCTGTCCTCCAGCAGCTGAAATACAAAAGTCAGGCTGTCAGTCCTTGATGGTGGGGGGGGGGGCTCTCCGCATCTGAGAGGGCAGAGTGGGGTGCAAAATAGCCCAGGCAATGGAGAGATACCCACCCCTGGCGAAGGGATGGGGAACCTCAGCAGAATAAAAATAAAAAAAATAAATTTTGATTTACAGTGGTGCCTCGCAAGACGAAAAGAATCCATTCCGCGATTCTCTTAGTCTAGCGGTTTTTTCGTCTTGCGAAGCAACCCTATTAGCGGCTAAGCGGAATAGCGCTATTTGTAGTTTAGCGGCTTAGCGGCTATGAAAGGCTTAGCAGCTTAGCTGCTAAAAGGCTATTAGCGGCTTAGCGGTTTAGAAAAAGGGGAGGGGGAGCGGGGAAAAAAATCGCAAGACTAGCAAGACGTTTCGTCTTGCGAAGCAAGCCCATGGGGAAAATCGTCTTGCGAAGCAACTCAAAAACGGAAAACCCTTTCATCTAGCGGGTTTTCCGTCTTGCGAGGCATTCGTCTTGCGGGGCACCACTGTATATCCCGCCCTCCCCAGCCAAAGCCGGGCTCAGAGCGGCTAACAACAATAAAAGTAACACAGCATTCTAAAGTAAATTCATTTTAAAATCAGTTCAAAATCAAATTGATGGCAACCATTGGGATAGAATTCTATGAGGATTACCAAAGGATAATCAGACTGTGCCTTGGCCAAAGGCCTGGTGGAACAGCTCTGTCTTGCAGGCCCTGCGGAAAGATGTCAAGTCCCGCAGGGCCCTAGTCTCTTGTGACAGAGCGTTCCACCAGATCGGGGCCACAGCCGAAAAGGCCCTGGCTCTGGTTGAGGCCAACCTAACCTCCCTGTGGCCCGGGGCCTCCAAGATGTTTTTGTTTGAAGACCGTAAGGCCATCCTGGTCTCTGAGGGCCAGACAGGTCGCCATCTCAAGGACAAGAGTGTATCCAACCTCCATGGACTGGGGACTTGGCCAGGACAAGAGGGGGGGGTGTAATAAATGAAAATCTGCCCTTATTCCCTTATGGGGGACACAAGAGTCCTTTGTAGGTTCTCCATCGGTCGGAGAAAATAACAGAGGCCCACCAGAGAATATTGAGAAGCAAAGCAGCTCGTCAGCCTGATCTTTATTGAACTGCTGCAACAGGGTGCTCCCCTCACACGCAGGAAAGGAGGAGGACCCCAAACCAAGGTATGCCCGCCCTTATATAGACATTTTAATTTGCCTGCCCTGGAGTCCAAGGCCACCCCCAGACATGTCATACGTACATCACAGAAAGGGCGGTCTACAACAGAAATCTGAGCGCGTTGTTTATCTGCTGTCTGGCAGGTTACCTGTTAATGCTTACTTGATTGGATACCCTGGGGAGCCTGGCCAGTCTTTTGTAATGACAAATACTTAGTTCTTGAGCCAGGTCACAGGCTCACCCTATTCATACACAGACATACCCTTGAGACAGGATTTCTGAAGGAAAAGACAATAGGGAGGCTTTTCCATTTTCCTTTGACCTTGTAGAGAAAACATTTAATCAGTTTGGGAGCCAAAATGGCTCCGGGACTGCCCTCCTGTGCTGCCTCAGACATGTGGCCTATACATTTATGTACGTGTTTGCCTGGCAAATCCATAAACATTATACTTTGTTTTACTCAATGGGTGTAAGGTGAAGGTCAAGGGAGGGAGACAGGGGCAAATCTGAGGCTCAGGTTCTCAGGTTTCCACCAGAAAAACCCACCCAGTTTGTGACACAGATGTGATGCATGTATGCCGTTTTATTAAGAGGTGAGGGTAAAATTGACCTTTTTCTGCTTCTTCCAGTTGGCAGTTGAAAGTCCTGTTGCAACAGTTCATTGAATAAGGAGGCAAGACTCTGCAGGGGACCCCAGGACTCACACCGCCCCCCCCCCAGGAGACAAAGAGAAAGGAAGGAATGCTACTTACAGCCTGCCCATTTCTGCCACGAAAAATTCCCATCCTCCTCACTAAAGTAGTTAACTATCTAAAATGCCCACCTAAGCCTAATTCTCACCCCAACCCCCGCCCTAACCCTACACCTAACCCTAACTACTCCTCTATAAACTGTTACGGAAATTACAGGGGGGGGCACATCTTTAAAGTTAAATATTACAAATATTATGCCTGAATATATCCTTCCAACTTGACAGCTCAGGGAAGTCACCTAGCTTTAAAAATAATATAAAATCATCTCCTTTCCCAGTTCCCCCCATTCCAAAGCTATTTTCCCCCTGCAAAAGGACTCCAGGAGGTTCCCAAAGGAACCAAAGGAAGCCAAATCTCATCACCAGACTCGCCTCAGGCTCCAGACATGCAAAGGAAGTTCTATTGTACTTTTGGGTGGTGGGTACTTGAGACATATTTGTCTATGCTAATCTTATACCTGAGTCTTGCCCTGCCATGTCTGCTTATGTTAATCTTGTACCAATGACTTGTCTGGACATGTTTGCCAAGGTTAACCCCTCCCCATTGAACTGTATTCTGGGATGTGGTGGGAAAGTTTTAAAAGTCCTTGTCACCCCATCCTCGGGGTTCAAAATTTGCTCTTTGAACCTATTGCGCAATAAACTTTGGTCTACAGCTATTTGCTCCGGTTGGCTGGACTCCTTCCTTTATTCCGCAGGGACCTGCGGGCTCTGCCCGACGAGCTGGGTGACTGAGCAGCCTCACACCTAGATTTTTCTCTAACAAAACAAAATAAATATACACAGAATTATACAAAATAGCCACAAATGTGCACTAAATAAAAATGTAAAATAAAAAATAAAGAACAAAAATTAAAATAAAAGTGTTAAAATAAAAGAGTAAAATAAATCAAATAAAAGTAATAAATCACATCAAAATCAAAATAAGAAACCAGAAAAATAACAACAAACCAAACTCCTAATTGCCACCAACTGCCACCAACTGCCACCAACTGCCACTAACTCCTCTCTCTCTACTTGCCTCACTACTAAACCCACAATAGCTGCCTGCAAGTGGGTGGCTTTTAAAGGAGAAGCAAGAGAGGTCACAAAGGAGGGCGGGTCCTGGTCACCGTGGCAACCACCCCCACCTGAGCCCACCTGGCCCCTCCCAAGAGGGGAGGCTCCTCTCTCAGAACTCAGAATCTTCCTTTCATCTCCTTCTTCCCAAAGGGAGACCATCCCCACATCCTTCCAGGCAGGCTAGGGGTCTCCATAGCGCAGGATTGGACCATCTGCTTGGCATGCATGTCTTCTGTCGTGGGCTGCATCTCGGGGGGGGGGGGCTGACAATGTCTGAAGGAGCGTCTCCACCCCCATCATTCAGCCCTGAGATCCAGCGCCATGGGCCTTCTGGCGGCTCCCTCACTGCGAGAAGCCAAGTTACAGGGAACCAGGCAGAGGGCCTTCTCGGTAGTGGCACCTTCCCTGTGGAACACCCTCCCACCAGATGTCAAAGAGAGCAACAACTACTAGGCTTTTAGAAGACATCTGAAGGCAGCCCTGTTTCGGGAAGCTTTTAATGTTTGATGTATTATAGTATTTTAATATTCTTTTGGAAGCCGCCCAGAGTGGCTGGGGAAGCCCAGCCAGATGGGCGGGGTATAAATAATAAATTATTATTACTGTATTACTGTCCAAACCCCTGGAGAACTGCTGCCAGTCAGTGAAGGCGATGCTGAAGTCAGTGGCTGACAGGACTGACTCTGTCCATGGCAGCTTCCTAGGAATATTCCTCTGAAGTTCTTTAGCAGAAGAGGAGCAGGCTATAACTTCTGCACCGGATCAACCATCAATTCCTTTCGCTAAGAGACAATCTGGGAAAGTCCCTGTTTAATATACAACAATGCCAGTGCAAAAGTTCTGAATGTGAGAGGAAGCAGAATTCTTCCCTCTGCAAGAAAGCCATAGGCCAAGGGGATCCCCCCCCAGTGGACTAGATGACTCCCAGGGTCCCTTCCAGATCTTCCATTCTAGGGGGTCAACTGCAGTAGACCCTTCAGATTTCCAAGCAGTCCTCCAGTTACGAAATTTTCGGGATATGGCCGGGCCCCCGGAACAGATCCTGTTCATCATCGGAGGTACCACTGTACAGAAGTCCATATAAACCACATGTCTGAAATAGTACAGGAGAGCAATCCTGAAGCCATTCTGATTCTCCCAATGACCTCAAATATTCCTCTGCAGTAAGGGAGGCAAAACGTGTCCCATTTTAGATTGTTGTCAAATTCTTTTCTGTTATTTTTCTAACTGCTTTTTTTATGTTGTGCACATTTGTTTTATTTATATTTGTTAATTTTACATACCTCCCTTCATTTGAATATCACAAGGCGGTTTGCAATATAAAAACCCAAAAATGCAAAAATATATGACATTGCCTTGGTGCCAGGGCCGGCACATCCATGAGTCAAGGTGAGGTGACTCCCTCAGGCGGCAGAATCCACAAGGGCAGAAAATCACAAAGTCGATCTTTTTCCTCGCCCTGTTCCTCCTCAACCACCCCTTCTGCCCTGACTGGGGGGTATTTTGTGGATCACCTCAGGTACCAAAATGTGTTGGGCCAGCCCTGCTTGGGGCACAGGTAGAAGGCAATTCATACGTTATTGTTATAGAATTGATCATAATGACATTGAAGACTGCATTTGTAGAATAATAATCTTTCTCTGCGGTTTGATTTGGGGCTTGGATGTTTGTCCTGGTAACTAGAAATGCTCCTTCAACGTGCCCCGTCCATAGCTGTCAACTGTCCCTTATTCGGCGGGAAACTCCCTTATCCCAGCACCGTGTCCCGCTGCTGTCCCTTATTGATGATGTCCCTTAAATTTCCCAGGTTTCATGCTTGCCCGGCTCGGGAGTCCTCCGCTGCGAGAGAGAGTCCTCCGCTGGCACTGTCATCCTGTCGCGAGGAATTCCATTGGCCCTTCCCCGCCCGAGGGGGGGAGGGCGAGAGACTCTCGCCCACGCCGCCCGCGAGCCCGGAGGTAGCAGCGGTGGTGGCAGCTGAGGAGGCGGCCTGAGGGAGAAGGAAGAGGAGGGGATGGGGAGGGACGCAGAAGGGCGGCGCTTTAGTGGCCATCGTGGCACCGCAACCACCTCATGCCGGATTGTCAATCCTACCAATGTATGTAACTCTTTACAATAGCAAAATCCCTTATTTTCGAGGCTGCTGGTCCCTTATTTTCAAATCTGTAAGTTGACAGCTATGGCCCCGTCCTGTGTGCATGAGCTCT